ATTAAATTGCTGTCAGATGCTTGTACGCTCTATGAAAAGTCTGAATGTCAGCTCTGAAGTATAATGTTTTTAGCATATCAAACAGTGGCAGTAAAAGGCAAACAGAAATCCTAAAAGAGTTTTTAGTATCCTTAATAAAGCTGTTGGCTGCATCTTTGTTAACTAAAATAATGAGTAGTTATAATGAGATTTTGATCAGGTTTAGCCAAGCTGTTTGAATCAGGCAAACTACCGTAAAGCCATTTACTTCAAAGGGAACACTTCTAATTCTTCTTAATGTTCCTGCAGACTGTGATGTTTATAACCAGACATTGTTGATGGTAGAAAAACATGTACATAATTGCATTTTTCTGTAAACATTTCACCAGGCAAATGCATTGGTAAAGAGGATGACTGGAGCACGAAATAAAAGTAAAATATAATCTTCACAGAAGTTTAATTTCAAATAACTAGCAAATTCACCTGATCCTCCTGGTATGATCATGACTAAGTATGAATTTTACCTGCCCTCATCTAGCAATTGAGCCACTGTAAACCTCCTTCGCATATGCCCTAAGAGCAAATTAACACATTAGATTAACCAGTCTTGGAGGTTATAAAGTTAAGATACACATACGGAAAAGAGACACAACACTTCACCTGATCCGTTTTATTCAAGATGGAACAGTGCTAACAGAGTGCACTGGTTTGGCTGAGTTAATTTTCTTCTCAGTAGCTCGCATGGTGCTATGCTTTGGCTGTGTGGCCAAAACGGTGTGGATACCACAGGGATGTTTTAGCTGTTGCTGAGCGGTGCTTGCACAGTGCCCAGGCCTTCTCTGCATCTCACACCACCCAGCCAGCGAGGAGGCTGGGGGTGCTCGGCAATGTGGGAGAGGACAGAGCCAAGAGGACAGAGCCAAGAGACCTGACCCCAACTGACCAGGTGGATACCCCAGACCATATGGTGTTGTGCTCAGCAATAAAGGCTGTGGGAAGAAGGAGGAAGTTCAGCGTTAAGGTGTTTGTCATCTCCAATCACTGTCACATGTGACAGAGCCTGTCTATAGAACAACCAATATAGAAAACAGGATTAACTTAAAGCCCTTTGTTCTCTTGTAAGTAGGGGGGTTTTGTTGTTTTGCTTTTCCTGCTGTTGCTTTTAGTACGAATCTTAAAAAAATCTTTCAAAAGTGTGCTTCTTTAGAGTGTTGTCGGTATAATATTCAAGCAATAAAATCTGACTGTGAGGCATTGATTTTCCTTTTCATTTCACACACGGGGTATTGGAATGAATCACACTGTAATTAAAATGGGTTTCTTTCACTGAACAGAAACAAGGGAATTAAGAAATTTCTTTATATTGCTATTTTCACCACAAAGAATTGTAAAACACTTTTAATCTGCTGTATGGGAGAAAAATCAGTGACTGTTGGAAGTGTAAGGTAGCAATTTTAACCAAAACAACCACGTAACAGCTCAGCACTTTCAAGGGTTTAACTGAAATCAAGGAGAGAATTCAATCATGTGAATTATAGTTTTGAAAAGTGAAAAAAGCAACACACCCCAAACCAAAGTAAAACAAAACCAAAACCCTCTTAAGTTTTTAAAACAAAAACTAGTCTTTATTTTTTAATATAGATTTTTAATTTATTTTTTTAATTGCCCCTATGTTGTTTTTTTTTTTTTTTCACTGTAGTATCTTTTAGGCAGAAAATTCCTTCTGCTCTTGATATACCTAACTCAAGGGTAGCACAATTCCCTTTTTTTAGGGTAACCGGGGGAAAAAAAAAAAAAAAAAAACAAGACAAAACAAACCACACTTAATATATGCACACAACTGTACACAAAAACATGACCTTTCAGTAGCCAAATATATACCATGTTCATCTTGGAGCAGGATTTCGGTACCATTAAACAAGGAAGTACAATATGATTATTTTCAATAATGGCATCAGCTTGGAATCTTAACTTTCACTAGAATGCAGGGTTAGAAGTAATAAACTACTGAGCATATTCTTGAGTTAATACAACTAAAAAAAAAGAAAAAGGAACTCTGTAACGGGGGTTAGTGAACTGGCTCCTGCCTTAAAAGGGTCGTCAGTGGTTTTCAGATCGCTATGGATGGTAGAGGCAAAGAAAGACAAAAGCTGGAAAATGTGGAAAGAAACTTAACTCTGATGAAAAGACAATGAGATTTGCATGAGTCTAGCACAAGCTTCATTTTGCTGTTACTCTTGGGTTGTTCAGGAAGGCTCCAGATTAGAAATAATGTGTTGATGGAAACTTTCAACTGCAACCTAGGACCTAGGATGTTGGGTTTTTTTAGTGCTCTCTGGTCATGTCCCGTAAATCAACGAATACTCTTAAGGAGCTCAAAATGGGCGAAGTGATAGGAAGAAGTAGGAGCTTAGGTGGGAATGCTGCTCCAGTGATGAAGAAAATGAGATCATTTGGTACATACATTTTGCAAAGGGAAGCTTCTGAACTGCTAAAGATGTGCTGTCTCGTGGAGCAAAGCTGCGGGTCGCTTCCCCCTGCGGCCTGGGCTGGACCTCTCCAGCCCCGCTCCGAGTGCGCGAAGCCCCTTCGGCATTAATGCGCGTTCCTTCCAGGAGTATCTCGGAGGGCAGCCGAGGCGGGCTGAGTTGAGATGCGCAGGCGGGAGTGTCAGCGCCGCAGGCTGAGGTGCCCAGTGGGGCTGCCCTGCCCGTGCAGCGTGGGGAGGGTGCCCGCAGCCCTGTGTGACACGGCGCGGTGTCACAGTGGGACACCCGCATCACAGCGACAGCTCCCTCTCCCCACCGTGCCCCCGGCCACACTCCCTGGCGAGGCCTGGGCAACGCCAGGGCTGCTCTCGCCAGCGCTCTGCTCCGCAGGAGCTGCCCTGCTGCCAGGAGGAGGCGAGGGGAGGCCGCGGGAGAGCCTTGGAGACGCTGCTTGGGCAGTGGCGACCAGGAGGAGGAGGAGGAGGAGGAGATTGGAGAAGGAGGAGGAGGAGAAGGAGACGAGGAGCAGAGGGGTTTTGGAGCAGGACGCGCACCGCTTCCCCAGATGCTGCAGTGCAAGGGGGAAAGGATGATTAAGTACCTGCTCTTTAACCCCTTGGGGCCTGAGGATCTCCCAACCCTCAAGGAGCTCACCACCAGAGGTAAGGCCCCAGGGGGCCCTTGCAGGAGCGCTGTGGGAGCCAAGGCGAAGGGGACGTGAGCTCTGGAAACGCTGAGCCTGGGGATGGGGCTGTAGCAGGGCTCTTCTGGAGGGGACCGGCAGCTGCAGGGAGAGCCCTGCCCGATGGAGACTTGGGCCTTGAGGGTGGCTTTGGTAGCTCACGCTTCTAGCTACCTCTGCTCACATGAAAGGGCGGGATCCCCTTCCCCAAACACTACCGATGCCTGCCTGTCCTCCCCAGGCCCATCACGGGCACAGGGCAGGCTTCTTGGAGGCTGGGGGCAGTCAAGAGCGCAGCTGGGCAGCCCCGGCAGCGCAAGGGTTTGCTCTGGGCAAGGGGGCTTGAGTGCATGCCACTGTCGCCTCCGTGGGTAGGGGCTGCTGGATGCGTGGCCGTTGCTGACTCAGAGCACGGCGTGCCTTTCCTTTGCTTTCCAGAAATCCAGCAAGTCTGGGCTGGCACATCTAGGTACATCCGGAGCCAGCTCTTGCAGAAGAAGGTGAGCCTTGCCTCCTGCCCGTGCCCCGTCCTGCCCCGCTGGGCCTCCCGAGCAGGGCACAAAGCACCACCCCAAAGGCGACACGCGAGTCATCTGGCAGCCTTCCAGCCTCTGCGCAGCCCTGACAATGCTCCCTCTTCTTGCTTGTGTTTTCAGGCGGTGGAGATCGGAATTGGGACATTTGCAATTGTCCCGGTGCATGCCACGGTGGGAGAGGACGAGGTTTTGCCTGTTGAGAGACCTGTGTTCCAGCTGAGCAGGTTTCTGAAGAAATTCTACAGCCTCAAGCACGCAAAGACCCAAATTCCTGGTAAGAAGACGGGCGTGGCCCCTGTCCAGCTCTTGCGTTTGGCTGGGTGCTGACGTGGTGCCGTGACACAGCTGAGCAAAGGCTCTTCCAGCGTGGAGAGTGCTGAGCGTGGGCACGCGTACGGCAGCCCGGCACCCTGCCCCTCCCCGGGCAGCCAGCCTCATCTCCCCAGCTCACCCTACGCTCCAGCTGGTTGCTCGCAGCAGGAGGCAAAGCCTCTCTGTGCCTTCTCCTGTCCATCAGGGCCGCTCTGGAGACGTGGCCGAAGCTGAAAGGGGAGCGCGCTCTGGCAGGGCGCTGCCCGAGGGCTGGGCGCTGATGGCACCTCGTCTCAGGGTGGGCTGAACTGTGCTGGGAGTGACTTGGTTGCTCTGCGCTTGTTTCCTAGACAAGACCCAGTTTGTTCAGCTGGACTTTAAGCAGATTGCTGCAGAAACCCACTTCCGCCCGGAAATCGTGGAGCAGTGCGTACACGAGACCCTGCTTCTCTTCGCCGAGGCCCTCCAAGAAAACAAGGAGGTGGAACTCTCCTTCAAGGGCATCGGCATCCTTGCTGTGCGAAAAAAAGTGGTCAGCATGACCTTCTTGGACGAGTGCCTGCTGGAGCTGGATGGGACAGGGAACATGCTGGCAGCTCTTCTCGGGGTGAGCTTGTCATTTCTCTGGGGCTGCTCCTCGTGCCTCTGTGGCAATGCTGTCAAAGCTCTCTCCAGCTGCTTTCTCTTGGCTGCTGTCGCCTGCCTCGCCGCCTGGCCTAGACACGCTCCCCGTGAGCTAGGCCGTGTCTCAGGAGCACCTCGGCCCCTTCAAGGGAGGGGGCTGATGGCATCAAGGGAGAGGGTGGTGCGAGGCTTTCGGAGAGGCAGCTTTGTGTCTTTGAGCAGCGAGACGGTTTGTGAGCAACCGGCATGGGCGTCTGCTGACGTGTCCCTGTCCCCTTGCAGGACCCTAAGATGATGAGGATCGTGGCCTTCGCGGGCAAAAAACGATTTTAGTCGTCGCAGTCGAGACACGGTCATCACGCTGCCAAGGTGAGCAGGATGGCTTCTGCAGCCCCTGGCTGGTCAAGGGAGCAGCTGCTGAGCCCCCGAGGCGGGGGCACCCTCTTGCTGAGGCTCCTCTCCTGCCAAACTCGGCAAGACCAGCTCCTTCCCAGGAGAAGAGCTTCCCGGTCCGTGGTTGCTGGCTGCTCCCCAGCTTGGAGAGTGCCAACGCAGCGATCAGTCCGCTCTCGATCTGTGCTGAGAGAGCGAGAGAGGCGGGAGGGTCTGTGGGGCAGCAAGGAGGGCGTGTGCTGGGATCATCAGCTTTCGGGCAGGAAGGCGAGGGAAGCAGCGGCAGAGGCTGAAGGAGGACGTGGGACCCCTCGGGCCCCACAGAGACCTGTGGCCTCCAAGGACTCGGCAGTGGCTCCCACAGATGCCTGCCAGCAGTTTTTAGTCTCAGCCCGCAAGGGAGCGGGGTGGCCTTTTGCCCAGCTGCTGCCTTCTTGTTTCCAGGCTTGCATTCGAGATCCCCCACCAAACATCGGTCCCCACGATTTCTCTGAAGCCCACGAGAGATCTGGCGCCCTGGGGCGGGGGTGCCCGCAGAGGTAAGGTCCCAGCCGAGTGCTGGCAGGGGGCTGTGGGTGCTCCTCACGTCCTCCCGAGGGCAGGAGAGCCAGGGTCACTGTGCGAGTTGTGCGAGAGGAGAAAGCAGCTCTGTGAGCCTGCGCAGCCGTCCTAGTACGCGCGGGTGACCCGTTTGGGAAGAGGCTCTGAGCTGGACAGCCCCTCATGGCGAACGGCAGCCAAGGGTTCTGCGTCCCATTTTGCCCTGGGCGCTGCCTTCCAGCAACTCTGCCTGGAGCTGTGACCGGGCCGAGCCCGCGTAGCTCTGGCAAGCCACGCGTTTGGCTCTGAGGAGGAAATCTCTTCTGCGCTGGGGTCGTTGCTTCTGCCCAACTATCAAAGATGCTCTTGTGCTCTTCTCTTGCCTCCTGCTCGCAGTGAGTGTGCTGGATCCAGTGTTCCTGGCTCAGCGGAGGGTTTCTCTAGCCAGACAGCAGGTGAAGGAAGGCGAACAGGCTACAGCCAAGGAAGCTGGCCCAGGCAGGTGAGCCTCCTGGAGAAGCGGTGGGGCTGGGGGCATGGGGGCACACTGTGCCCTTGTTGTAGTGAGAGTGAGATGCTTCCCGTGGCCGGGGGTGCCTGTGCTGGGGAGAAAAGGCCCCGGAGACCTTGTCCTGCTCGACACTTGCTCCTCCCTGCTGAAGTGCCGGGAGCTGCCGGCACCGGGGGCAGGCTGTGAGCCCATGCCAGAGCAAGCACCTCAGGCGGGGCTCCCACAGGCTCAGCTGCCGTGCCTCTGCAGATTCCTGCCAGTAATCCAGCAGAATTCCAAGGAGGACCTGACGCAGGCCAGACCTCCAGGCTGCCCAGACTTGCAGCTCCCTGCATGTGCCGCGCAGCCCTCAGGAATGGTACGCCCCAGGGATCTGCCAGTCCTCTGGCACATTTCGGGCTCTGGGCCGGGGCCGAAGAGGTGGCAAGAGCTGCCCACCGTCCCAGCCCCCGGCCCTGCCCGAGCCAGGGGAGACTAACGCTGCGTGTGTGCTGTGCGCGTGTCCTCCAGGGAACGGGCTCCCTCCGCGCGGAGAGGGCAGGGAAACGGCACCAGGTGCTGATGGCATCCAGGCGCAAAGAGGTGGAAGCGGAAGTGTGGCACCAATACCATGCCAAGAGAGCGGGGCAGCACATGGAGCGAGGCCAGGTATGGCATGCACTTGGCAGCCGCCAGCCAAAGGGCATTTCCCCGCCCTGCTCCCTGCGGGGGGAGCAGGGAAGGTCTCCCGGCAGTGCGCCAGGCAGGGGCCTTCTGTCTGCCCGCTGCCCTGCCCGCTGCCCTGCAGCAGGAGCTGTCGCGACGGCCCCAGGCCGAAGCGTGCAGCCTTGGGAGCGGCCCCAGGTGTTGGCGGCAGTGCTTTAGGAGAGCCTCTTCTGCCTTCGCAGACCTCCTGCCGCCACCTGTTCGAGGATCCCTATCGCCCTCCCCACCTCCTGAGAAAGGCCTACGCCGAGAAGCTGAAGGAGAGGCTACAGGAGAAGGAGAGCTGCCAGAGGCCTGCGAGGCAGATGGCGTCCGAGGGGGCGGGCAGGGCTGCACCCCCCGCAGACAGCGTGGGAAGTGTAAGTGTGCGCAGGTCCTGCAGAGGCCGAGGAAAGCCTTGGGCAGCTCCCAGCGCTGGAGGTGGCCGGGCTGGCCACGAAAGGCTGGCTCGGCTGGCTGGGCTCTGCCTTCCCAACGGCGGCAGCCCGTGCTTGCCCTCGCCGCGCAGTGACTCGCAGGCAGCCAGCCCTCAGCTGCCGCGCCCCGCCCTGTCCCGGGTCTCGGCCCTGCCCGGCTTCACCCCCGGCTGCTCTGCGCTCTTCTCGCTGCAGACTGGTTGGGGCACGAGGGCCCACGAGACGCCACCCGGAGCAGCGGGCTGGGCTCGGCCGCTCCTCTGAGAGCTACGGGCCTGAGCCCGGCGCTGGGGCGCTGGGGCGCTGGGGGCCCTTCTCCCCGGCCACAGAGCTGAGGCCCTTTTCTGCTGTGTCCTTTAGCAAGGGGGAGAAGACGAGGCTGCTGGAGCGCCGCGGGAGGGCCCAGGGACTGCCCGCCATGCCAAGGAGCTGCGAGCAGCCCCGAGGAGCTGTCACGGCGTCCACCCTTTCCAGCCGGAGAGCTGCCAGCAACGGGTGGCAGGGGCGAGGAGCGCCTTTCCAAGGGGAACGTGCCAAATAAAGGCTGCTGGTGCCTGGGCCCAGCCAGCGTGGCCGTGCTGCTGCCTGCCTTGCCTTTCTCTGCGGCCACGGGCACGGGAGGGGCCCCGCAGCCCCCTGCTCGGAGGGGTCTCTGGGCAAATGGCCAGAGGACTGGTCCTGCCAGCCGGTCACCACAGGCCATGCGACCAGGAGAGCGGTGTCCCTTCCAGGACATGGGCCTCAAGGTCTTCAGAGCACAGCTTCTCTGCATCTAAACACCACTTTTCATGGATGACCAGAGCTCCGTGGCTGGTCACATCACTCTTAGAGCAGACTCACACTGCCAAAAGAAAATGGTGGGCCTGATGCTCCTTGAAAGGCTACACTCCTTAGATGAGCCCTTGGCTAACTGTTGGGCCTGATGCTCCTTGAACGGCTACACTCCTTAGATGAGCCCTTGGCTGACCGTCAAGAACTGTCCAATGACCTTTGCAGAATGTTTATTCATTTAGGAAGGAGCATAACTTTTGAAAAAGCCCTTTTTTTGCCAGGTAAAGCACTGCACACAGGAGAAAACCATGATTTGAAAGGGTAAAAGAGCACTAGGAGCAGTATGTGCAACTAAGCCGGACATGTCTGGAACATGAGGTGACTCTTGCCTCCCAATTTGTCCACTGTTTGCTCAGGCCTTGGCAACAGCCGCTCTGAACCCTTGTACTGAGCACTGAGCAGTATAAGTGCTCTGCTGCTACTGCAGTGTTAGCAGTATTCAGCCTGCACGTTCTTTGGAGCTCAGACCAACCTCACAAAAGGGAGCAAATTCCAAAATGTGTCTTCTGGCATCCTCAGAAAACTACAACACAAGCGGAATTGCTGGAAAGTTGGGATGAGTGTCGTGAAGGAAGCGGTAGACTGGATTGAATAGAGTATGCACAAGTCCATGGGACCCTGGAATAGGCCTCCCGTGGTCCTGAGCGAACAGGCAGATGTCATTTCCACGCCAGCCTCTGAAATGTCACGGCAGTCAGGCAAAGACCCCGGTGACTGGAAAAAGGGAAACTGCACACATTTTCAAACGAGGTAATAAGGAGGCCCCTGGGAACTGCTGAGCACTCAGCCTCACCTCAGTGCCTGGTAAGGTCATGGAACAGATCCTCCTGGAAGTTATGTTGAAGTTATACGTGAAAGTCCTCTGCAGCACCTTGGCCTGAGTTGCAGCAACAGAGCTGCAAAGTCCTTCCTCGCCCTGTTACACTAGAGAGCGTGAGCAGCTGCTCTTGCTATGCGGTTGCACAACAGGAGAGATCACAAGAAGAGTCTCTTCTTGGGTGCACTGATTGCAGCATGTCAGATTAAACAAACTATTCCAAGCATGTGAGAGCTCTGTTCATGACAAGCTGCTGCAGTGAAGCTTTGTGTGCTGGTATTCCAGACATCTTAGTTTGAGCTGTTAAACACCTCACACCAGCTTGGTTATGCAGCTTTATAATTATACATGGTTTGCTTGCTAACAAGAAGTCAACTGTTAAGGCCTTGAGAATGAATCCTGTTTCATTCATGTGTACCCCAGCACGTTTGGGGTTTTTTGAACCTGCTGTGTATTACTGTCCATTTGTCAACATTAAACTTTTTTCACCATCTGTCAGGCCATTTGCAGAGCAATTCCAAATCCTTATTAAATCTGTTTGAAACTGGCTTAAGGCTCAGCATTTCACTTTCTCCATCAACACTCCATGGAGGTGATCTGCACAGAAGAAAACAACAGGGGCTTCAGTTCCAGTCCCCTTCGAGACCTACTTTAATACTTGGCCCAGCTTGAAGAGGTCCTTCAGTATTGTGCTGTCTTCTGTTTTATGGACCATTACCTTATTGGGTCTTTTAACTGGGATCCTCACTACCGAGTGTTGCGCAGAAGCTTGGCAGAAAGTGAAACTTTTTAAAGTTCAGATATTCTACGCTATTATGTGAGCTGTTCATCTGTCTCAGCAGTGCTAGCAGGGACATAACTTCCTGTTTGTCTTGAAGCTATTCCTGAGGTTTTGTTTAAGGCCTTCCAAATCACAGCAAATGGCTCTTCTAAACTTATTGAATACTAACTTGTGAATTAAACTACACATATACGTGTCTGTGGCCGAAGAGATGAATTAGAAGCAGAAATGAGGAGTTTTCTTTTAGGTATATTATGAGAACAAATCCAAATTGCTGGCAGCGTGTCAAACTTGAAAGAAGATTTGTTCATTCACACATAAAGGACTGCAAGTTACCCAGATAACGGAAAGGAGATTTTCCTCCTTTCTATCATTCCCATGGTTTTTTCCCTTTTAATAAATTTGTTCTTGAGTTGGCTTGATTTAGCCAAGCAAAAACATGATAGAAGAATTTATTTTGTCACAGTTGGTGTCCAGTCAGGCAAGACAAAGCAAATAACATGCAGGGGAACTAGTTCAGCTTTTTTAGCTTGGGCTGAAGAGTGTTGCCTCTGCATTGGTTCTTACCTTACCTTCCTCTTTTAGGTCACAAGACAGCTTTAAATCTGAGCAGGGAAAGTAAATGGATGTTACCGGGAATTAGACTTTCATAGGAAATGCTGAGAGACAAACTGTCTTTTAAAGCTCTGTGTGTGTGTGTGTTGGATGTATTTCTCATGCAGCACAAAACTCAGACATTCATTTACTCAGCAAGTGAAATCATTACTTAATTTGATCATTGACTGTTTCCTTGCTTTTCCCTGGATGTGGGATGGGGCTCTGCCTTGGGAGCTGAGGCTTTAAGGATGCTGAGATGCGTGGAGTTGTGACTCTTAGTGGCCAACAAAATGAGCAATCAAAGAACTGGAGGGAGAGTCCTGGGAAACTCCAGTTGTTTCTGAACACGCGTGTAAGTAATATTGCATCAAAACTTTGTTAGGAATTCCCAGGGAAGCTGAGGTTGCACAAAGGCCTGTTTAGGAGAAAATGTCTGTCGACAAACTACAATAAACTGTACATCCTTTTTCACTTTGGAGTTTGGTTGGGAAGAATCCCATCAGTTTTCTCAGGGGCCAGAAAATGCACAGACCAAGGAAGTTCTATAGGAAAACCCAGCGTTTTCTTTTAAAACTTTGACTTTCCCTTTCTTTGTCATGAGAATGAACATTCAAAGCAAAATTCTAAGTTAATGGATGATGTGTAGAGAAATCTTTCGCTTGCCATGTGAAATCTCAGTCTTGAGATAAGGGCCTGTTGCGTTCTCAGGGATGAAGAAGGTTTTTAATGCATGGTAAAATATGAAAGTGATATCCTTAGATCACTTCAGGGTAGAGGAAAATTACCATTTTTAGTGCACATGTATTGTCGGAAGTCAACGTTATTCTGCCTTGCTGTGGTGTGATGTTTTAGGATATTGACAAAATGCTGGGTACTTTTCCAAAGCTTTGCTTGAAACTTGGCATCATTTACATTCATCGCCAAAGTGCTTCAATTCATTTACGGTTAGAAAAAAGAAGAAAAACAAACCAAAACAAAACAGACCAACTTCTTCATCGCTATGTTCATATGCATAACTGGCAATCCAGTGGTACAGTATGTCAGTGGTTTCAGTACCATAAAGACCTGCACACGAGCCAACTCCCACACATTGTGCTGCCTTAATTTGACTCTTATAAGAGGAAACAACACATGCCTGCGGAGAGACCGAATGACTGCAAATGTGAAAATCATGAACCAGAGCCTCTGGAGAGCAAGAAGCATTCGGGCAGGGAGTACTGGTAGGGAGCAGGCAGGAACTTTTATGAAGGAGAAAAAATAGTCAAATGAAGGAAGCCTTTTCCTTTCAGCCACAGATATGCAGTGCTTGTACCTAACCAATTGCATTTAACCCTCTCCATGATTTTAAAATACTTTGAGGAAAGGTGTCCAAACATAGGTGTAGTCATCAGATACGCAGCATTCCTTTAACCTGTCTCAGGGAGAACGGAAAGCTGGAAAATAGCATACCGTCCCAGTGCCACCTGGTTCTGTATGATAGTGTAAGATCCGTAAGGTCTTCTCCGCCACTGCCAATTCCTATTTGTACATCCAGAAAGCTTGCTCTGAGGGAAGTGGGGGGAAGCAGTCGCTTTACCAACTCCTTGTTAGAACGTGAAGCTGCCGCAAGTTGCCTGCTCTTTGTGACTCCGCAGGGAAAGCAGCAGCTGAACAGGGTCCTGTTAAAGACAGGTGAGCTCAGGGGCCTGTTGCCCACTGTGACCAACACCTCACCCCTGGGAAAAATGGTAAGTTGAGTGAGCATGACAGCCGTCCCCTGAATGCCCTCCGACAACGTGGGGCCCTGCTGTTCAGGTTGTCCCAGAGCAAGAGAGATTTTTTTGCCAGCCGTGCCCTGTGAGGAGAATAATGGACTCCGGCAACTCTGTAAGAGTCATAAATCCAAGACGTTTGTTGCCGATACAAGCGCGCTGTTTATATATCCTCCTAGCAACTGATCACACGTAAACAAAAAGCTTGATGGGTTACATGCATTCTTCACACGCTGTCCATGCGCCTAAGGCTAACATCTGATTGGTCACTACCCTCTGTCCGTAATACACCAGACAGCTCATCGGCTACAAGTCCGTTACTGCTATCCTAGGCCTATTGGTTCATTAAATCTCACACGCACAAACACAAGTTCTATGCACCTTTAGCTCAAGGCAGAAAACTCTCCACTGTTTAAGAAACGGCCAGATGTTTTCCATTAACCGCCTTGCATGTTTTCCTCAGACAAAGCTCGGCATCCTTGTCTTGTTTTTCTGCATTCCTGTTTGCTAGTCCCGAGGCTTCTGGCCGACGAAGGTCCAGATGTCCTCATCATGCACCAGCTGTACAGCGCGCTCAGTTCTTCTTCCTCTTTTCGCGTCCCTTTGGCGATGTAGCCAAAGACTTGCTCTTGTCCAGCGTTGCCATCGTCCTCCAAAAACGATCCCACAGCCCTATGGGTTTTTCTTTCCAGAGATTTTTTTCCCAGCCCTTTTTCAGTGCGCACCATTTTAAACAGCAGCTGCCAACCACTTCCTTTCAGCACTGCCGCGATTGGAAGAGGCAGCTCAGTACTCATTTTTTTTTTGCCACTTCTCACGGTTGTAAGCTTTCCATTAAACGTGCAGCTTCCTTTTCCAGAGTGAAAATTCTTGTCTGCGGGCTTTTCCAGGGTAGTCTGTGTCTTGTTGTTTGTTTACTGGAAAGTCTGAGTGGACAACTGCATTTATACATGTGTGACTTGCAGATTTTACACAACAGAAACAAAGAAGGAGGATGCAGTTTTAGTGGTGTGAACACGGTTATTGGAATATGAATACAGTATTAGTGGTAGTGTGGCATGGTGTACACAGTATGTGGCAGCCCAAACGTAATACTGGTTCAGTGACAGCATCTTTTGTCTGTAAACAAGACCTAGGAGGCAGAGTGGCTTCCTCTTTTCCTCTCACATCCCGTGGTGGTCTGTAGACTTGCCATGCACTTCAGCCCTTACCTTATGGTCCATGTGAAGGTGTTTCTACTGGGTTTTTTTGGAACTTTTCCTCTGGGGTTTTCGGATGGCAAAAGAAAGAGAACCTGAGACTTAACAAGTGACAGTACTGCAGTTTAGTAAGTTTAAAGTAGTGGGTACAGATAACGGGTTTTTATGAGAATGTTTCGAGCTATCCAGCTTCAAGAGGAAATCAAGTTTTATCCGCTGGCTCTGACGAGCAGGCTGGGGAGATATCACTGAAAATAACTGCTAGAATGTAGAGCTAAATCATGCACAGACATAAATTTACAGTTTTGGGTAGCGGAGGCGAATAATATAATATCTGCATTGAAATGTGTTGCATGCCTTTTAAAAAAAAAAATGAAGCGGAAAAAAAGTATTTACAGAGAGTTACCAACAATTGTCACATTTCAATTTCCTCATGAATGGTTTTATGGGCTGCACTCGTGGAAACACCTTTTTAAAGGGAAGGTTAACATGGTTATGTCAAATACAAACTGGATATTTTGTATAATGTAATGTTATGTGTACCTAACCCATACAATTTACTAAACGTTCTTTGTTAAATAAAGTGAATATAACAGTGCCACTGCAGTCTTTGACGAAGCAATAAGCCAGTTGTCAGGTGGATAAACTTTGAAGCCAAAGGGAAGGAACAGTCTTGTATGAATGGGATACCACATGAACTATGCAGCTTGGGTCAATATGTATACATATTTGTGTCTTTGTCTGTTTAAAAATAAATAGCTGTTTGTGCACTGAATGCAAAGTGAAGAAGTACAAGGGTGTACTGGTTTTGGCCAGGATGGAATTATAATTTCTTCATAGTAGCTTGATTAGGTCTAGGAGCAGTATGGTGCTTATCTGTCACCCGGGGTTAAACCACAACACAGGGAGACAGTGGAAATTATTATGCCAGGACGGCCAATGCACACTTCCATAGAAAAGGCAACATATCATGCTTGTGGAGAAAAGTTTCAACTACAAATCTCACTTTTATTTGTTCAGTAGTGTAATAAATAAGCTAAAAAAGCAAAATGTCCCATAGTGTGGCCACTACAACCACTTTGCTAAGAAAATTCTCCAACACTTTTGACTTATGAGAAAAATAGTTGTGAATCATCCAGAAAAATTTTCCGTACCTCTGTCATAAAGAATTAAAAGAGAAAGATAAAGGAGATCACACCTAGGCATTCAAATCCTACCATATGATACGATGAGGAAGAATGTCTGACTTATCTGAAAACTATTTTTTTGCATCTAATTGCTGCCACATGATGACTGTCTAAGCTGAGTATATTCTACATAAAGCTTCTCCCAAGTATGTGCTTAAAATGAGAGACACCGTGTCTATGTGATCAGAAGGAGATAATTCTAACTCACTCTCTTTGCATAGAAAGTATACTTGCCCTTTGGGTTAAGAAAGTATGTTTTGATGTGAGACATATGAATCTAATTCTACGACTCTATTTTTCAGGTAATCATAGGTGAAACACAGGGAAACTGAATTGAATTCACGTTTGAATAGTGAAGGGGAAAGCAGAAAAGTTTCTTTGTTCATCGCTACCGCACTCTTTCTCCATTCCTTTAGTGTGTATTTACAATATAGTTTTTTAAACAGGAAAGTAATCAAGATTGTAGAATGCTGCTGTATGAAAAACATGATCAAATTCAGATCCCTTTTATGGTAGGATGAACGACAGCTAAAAGTCATCAACATACTTATTCCATAATGCAATCTATCTTAAAATCCTAAAAACCCATTATGTAAATTGGGCTAGTATATGAATGAGAAATGTTTTGAAAAACTTCAACTGTTTAAAAAAACCATCTTTTCATTTCAGAAAAGAAAGTTTATACGATGAGTGTATCTGTTTATGCTTATTAATTGACAGTGGTTCCTCTGAACCCGCCAGGGGTTTCTTATTCACAATATAAAATTCATCATAAGCATTAATCTTTACAACATTGGATTGAAAGTATTTACTATTCACCTTCTGGATCTGGCCTGCATTAATGATACTGATGAGTCAGTATTTTTCAGAGAAGATATAAACTTGGAGTTCCAAGTGATAATGACTCTCCTGGATTTCATGATTCTCTGGACTCTTGGACAATTTCACTTCAAACAGTTGTTTTAGGACCATCTAATTTTTTTCCTTTTCTGAAAGAATGTCCTTTGTGGACATCCTTGGAACTGGCTTGAACACTCTGGTGGCCTTCGGATTATAGGATGATCGGCTATGATTCAGTATCTCCTTGAAATGCTACTTGTTTTTGAAGAACTACCATGTTTTAAAGTAGGAGTTGTTGCCTGTCGAATAATGATGACCCAAGCTATTTAGGTACAATTTTAGTGTTTATTGGACACCTGAATTATTTTTCTTGCTGTCCTGGGTTGAGTGAGTGGTGGAGTTTTTTGGTGGCAGGGGAGGGGGCTATCGGGGCGGGCCCCTGTGAGAAGCTTCTCGAAGCTCCCCCAGCTCCACGTCAGATCCACTTCTGTTTGGGAAATTGAGCCAATCGGCTGCGCCTCTGCGATAACGTATTTAAGAAGGGACGTGGTGATGGGCAGTCGGACTTGTGAGGAGGAGTTGCTGCAGCTGCATGAACACCAAGGTCAGTGGAGGAACGGAGGAAGAAAGGAGGGGGGAGGTGTGCCGGAGCAGAGACCCCCCTGTATCCTGTGGTGAGACAGCAGGCGCCCCCCCCCCCGCCACCCATGAAGATCTACGGTGGAGCAGACATTGATTTACAGCCTGTTGTTCCTGCTCAGCTGATCAAGGTTCTGTGCCTGAAGAGGCCGGGTCTCATGGAAAAGGCAGCCCCGCTGCTGTAATTCAGCACTGGGAGGATTGCAGCATGCGGGGGTGTCCCACGCCGGAGCAGCTCGGGAAGGGCTGCAGCCGTGGGAGAGAATCCAGTCGGAGGAAGTTAGTGACCCATGACGGAGCAGTGTGGGGAACGCTGCGGCCCATGGGAGGAATTCAAGTCGGAGAAAGTTTGTGCAGGACTGTCTCCTGTGAGAGGGGGACCACGATGGAGCAGGGGGAACAAGTTTCGGACACTCCCCTCACCGAAGATGAAGGAAGTGGCAGCACTGACTGCACCCCCCATTCCCTGCCCCTGCGCCACTGGGGGAGGAGGTAGAGATATCGGGAGCAGAGCTGAGCCCGGGAAGAAGGGAGGGGTGGGGGGAAGGTGTTCTCAAGATGTGGCAATGCTTCTCACTGTCCTACTCTGTTATGTGTTTTTAGTGTCTGTAATAAATGTATGTTCTTTTTTTTCTTCCCCTAACGAGTCTGCCTTTTGCTCGTGATCATGAAAGGGGGATTTTCCCCCATCCCAGTCCTATCTTGAACCCCAAGCCTGGCTCTCTGTCCCTTCTCATTGCCGGAGGGGAAGGGAGAGAGAGGTGCTGCGTTGTGGTTGGCTGTCAATCAGGCCTAAACCACGACACTTGCCCTGATTTTGTTGCTAATTCTAAAGAAACTTTCAGTTTCCTCAGAAAATGCATGTAAATTTTAAGTATAAAATAGTTATGAGTTTGTAGTGTACTCTATCAGCTGACAGATATTCTCAGATATAGTCTTGTCTCACTATTTACTGAGGCTTATTTCATCATGTATACACAAGCATCAAATTAAGAAAATCAGTTTTTCAGTTCCAGCATATTTCTAAAATAGTATTTTAGTTTACTCATTGTTCATATATGAAGTTTATTGTTGTCACATTTGTCAGTTATTATTTATTAAATTGCTGTCAGATGCTTGTACGCTCTATGAAAAGTCTGAATGTCAGCTCTGAAGTATAATGTTTTTAGCATATCAAACAGTGGCAGTAAAAGGCAAACAGAAATCCTAAAAGAGTTTTTAGTATCCTTAATAAAGCTGTTGGCTGCATCTTTGTTAACTAAAATAATGAGTAGTTATAATGAGATTTTGATCAGGTTTAGCCAAGCTGTTTGAATCAGGCAAACTACCGTAAAGCCATTTACTTCAAAGGGAACACTTCTAATTCTTCTTAATGTTCCTGCAGACTGTGATGTTTATAACCAGACATTGTTGATGGTAGAAAAATGTACATAATTGCATTTTTCTGTAAACATTTCACCAGGCAAATGCATTGGTAAAGAGGATGACTGGAGCACGAAATAAAAGTAAAATATAATCTTCACAGAAGTTTAATTTCAAATAACTAGCAAATTCACCTGATCCTCCTGGTATGATCATGACTAAGTATGAATTTTACCTGCCCTCATCTAGCAATTGAGCCACTGTAAACCTCCTTCGCATATGCCCTAAGAGCAAATTAACACATTAGATTAACCAGTCTTGGAGGTTATAAAGTTAAGATACACATACGGAAAAGAGACACAACACTTCACCTGATCCGTTTTATTCAAGATGGAACAGTGCTAACAGAGTGCACTGGTTTGGCTGAGTTAATTTTCTTCTCAGTAGCTCGCATGGTGCTATGCTTTGGCTGTGTGGCCAAAACGGTGTGGATACCACAGGGATGTTTTAGCTGTTGCTGAGCGGTGCTTGCACAGTGCCCAGGCCTTCTCTGCATCTCACACCACCCAGCCAGCGAGGAGGCTGGGGGTGCTCGGCAATGTGGGAGAGGACAGAGCCAAGAGGACAGAGCCAAGAGACCTGACCCCAACTGACCAGGTGGATACCCCAGACCATATGGTGTTGTGCTCAGCAATAAAGGCTGTGGGAAGAAGGAGGAAGTTCAGCGTTAAGGTGTTTGTCATCTCCAATCACTGTCACATGTGACAGAGCCTGTCTATAGAACAACCAATATAGAAAACAGGATTAACTTAAAGCCCTTTGTTCTCTTGTAAGTAGGGGGGTTTTGTTGTTTTGCTTTTCCTGCTGTTGCTTTTAGTACGAATCTTAAAAAAATCTTTCAAAAGTGTGCTTCTTTAGAGTGTTGTCGGTATAATATTCAAGCAATAAAATCTGACTGTGAGGCATTGATTTCCTTTTCATTTCACACACGGGGTATTGGAATGAATCACACTGTAATTAAAATGGGTTTCTTTCACTGAACAGAAACAAGGGAATTAAGAAATTTCTTTATATTGCTATTTTCACCACAAAGAATTGTAAAACACTTTTAATCTGCTGTATGGGAGAAAAATCAGTGACTGTTGGAAGTGTAAGGTAGCAATTTTAACCAAAACAACCACGTAACAGCTCAGCACTTTCAAGGGTTTAACTGAAATCAAGGAGAGAATTCAATCATGTGAATTATAGTTTTGAAAAGTGAAAAAAGCAACACACCCCAAACCAAAGTAAAACAAAACCAAAACCCTCTTAAGTTTTTAAAACAAAAACTAGTCTTTATTTTTTAATATAGATTTTTAATTTATTTTTTTAATTGCCCCTATGTTGTTTTTTTTTTTTCACTGTAGTATCTTTTAGGCAGAAAATTCCTTCTGCTCTTGATATACCTAACTCAAGGGTAGCACAATTCCCTTTTTTTAGGGTAACCGGGGGAAAAAAAAAAAAAAAAACAAGACAAAACAAACCACACTTAATATATGCACACAACTGTACACAAAAACATGACCTTTCAGTAGCCAAATATATACCATGTTCATCTTGGAGCAGGATTTCGGTACCATTAAACAAGGAAGTACAATATGATTATTTTCAATAATGGCATCAGCTTGGAATCTTAACTTTCACTAGAATGCAGGGTTAGAAGTAATAAATACTGAGCATATTCTTGAGTTAATACAACTAAAAAAAAAAGAAAAGGAACTCTGTAACGGGGGTTAGTGAACTGGCTCCTGCCTTAAAAGGGTCGTCAGTGGTTTTCAGATCGCTATGGATGGTAGAGGCAAAGAAAGACAAAAGCTGGAAAATGTGGAAAGAAACTTAACTCTGATGAAAAGACAATGAGATTTGCATGAGTCTAGCACAAGCTTCATTTTGCTGTTACTCTTGGGTTGTTCAGGAAGGCTCCAGATTAGAAATAATGTGTTGATGGAAACTTTCAACTGCAACCTAGGACCTAGGATGTTGGGTTTTTTTAGTGCTCTCTGGTCATGTCCCGTAAATCAACGAATACTCTTAAGGAGCTCAAAATGGGCGAAGTGATAGGAAGAAGTAGGAGCTTAGGTGGGAATGCTGCTCCAGTGATGAAGAAAATGAGATCATTTGGTACATACATTTTGCAAAGGGAAGCTTCTGAACTGCTAAAGATGTGCTGTCTCGTGGAGCAAAGCTGCGGGTCGCTTCCCCCTGCGGCCTGGGCTGGACCTCTCCAGCCCCGCTCCGAGTGCGCGAAGCCCCTTCGGCATTAATGCGCGTTCCTTCCAGGAGTATCTCGGAGGGCAGCCGAGGCGGGCTGAGTTGAGATGCGCAGGCGGGAGTGTCAGCGCCGCAGGCTGAGGTGCCCAGTGGGGCTGCCCTGCCCGTGCAGCGTGGGGAGGGTGCCCGCAGCCCTGTGTGACACGGCGCGGTGTCACAGTGGGACACCCGCATCACAGCGACAGCTCCCTCTCCCCACCGTGCCCCCGGCCACACTCCCTGGCGAGGCCTGGGCAACGCCAGGGCTGCTCTCGCCAGCGCTCTGCTCCGCAGGAGCTGCCCTGCTGCCAGGAGGAGGCGAGGGGAGGCCGCGGGAGAGCCTTGGAGACGCTGCTTGGGCAGTGGCGACCAGGAGGAGGAGGAGGAGGAGGAGATTGGAGAAGGAGGAGGAGGAGAAGGAGACGAGGAGCAGAGGGGTTTTGGAGCAGGACGCGCACCGCTTCCCCAGATGCTGCAGTGCAAGGGGGAAAGGATGATTAAGTACCTGCTCTTTAACCCCTTGGGGCCTGAGGATCTCCCAACCCTCAAGGAGCTCACCACCAGAGGTAAGGCCCCAGGGGGCCCTTGCAGGAGCGCTGTGGGAGCCAAGGCGAAGGGGACGTGAGCTCTGGAAACGCTGAGCCTGGGGATGGGGCTGTAGCAGGGCTCTTCTGGAGGGGACCGGCAGCTGCAGGGAGAGCCCTGCCCGATGGAGACTTGGGCCTTGAGGGTGGCTTTGGTAGCTCACGCTTCTAGCTACCTCTGCTCACATGAAAGGGCGGGATCCCCTTCCCCAAAACACTACCGATGCCTGCCTGTCCTCCCCAGGCCCATCACGGGCACAGGGCAGGCTTCTTGGAGGCTGGGGGCAGTCAAGAGCGCAGCTGGGCAGCCCCGGCAGCGCAAGGGTTTGCTCTGGGCAAGGGGGCTTGAGTGCATGCCACTGTCGCCTCCGTGGGTAGGGGCTGCTGGATGCGTGGCCGTTGCTGACTCAGAGCACGGCGTGCCTTTCCTTTGCTTTCCAGAAATCCAGCAAGTCTGGGCTGGCACATCTAGGTACATCCGGAGCAGCTCTTGCAGAAGAAGGTGAGCCTTGCCTCCTGCCCGTGCCCCGTCCTGCCCCGCTGGGCCTCCCGAGCAGGGCACAAAGCACCACCCCAAAGGCGACACGCGAGTCATCTGGCAGCCTTCCAGCCTCTGCGCAGCCCTGACAATGCTCCCTCTTCTTGCTTGTGTTTCAGGCGGTGGAGATCGGAATTGGGACATTTGCAATTGTCCCGGTGCATGCCACGGTGGGAGAGGACGAGGTTTTGCCTGTTGAGAGACCTGTGTTCCAGCTGAGCAGGTTTCTGAAGAAATTCTACAGCCTCAAGCACGCAAAGACCCAAATTCCTGGTAAGAAGACGGGCGTGGCCCCTGTCCAGCTCTTGCGTTTGGCTGGGTGCTGACGTGGTGCCGTGACACAGCTGAGCAAAGGCTCTTCCAGCGTGGAGAGTGCTGAGCGTGGGCACGCGTACGGCAGCCCGGCACCCTGCCCCTCCCCGGGCAGCCAGCCTCATCTCCCCAGCTCACCCTACGCTCCAGCTGGTTGCTCGCAGCAGGAGGCAAAGCCTCTCTGTGCCTTCTCCTGTCCATCAGGGCCGCTCTGGAGACGTGGCCGAAGCTGAAAGGGAGCGCGCTCTGGCAGGGCGCTGCCCGAGGGCTGGGCGCTGATGGCACCTCGTCTCAGGGTGGGCTGAACTGTGCTGGGAGTGACTTGGTTGCTCTGCGCTTGTTTCCTAGACAAGACCCAGTTTGTTCAGCTGGACTTTAAGCAGATTGCTGCAGAAACCCACTTCCGCCCGGAAATCGTGGAGCAGTGCGTACACGAGACCCTGCTTCTCTTCGCCGAGGCCCTCCAAGAAAACAAGGAGGTGGAACTCTCCTTCAAGGGCATCGGCATCCTTGCTGTGCGAAAAAAAGTGGTCAGCATGACCTTCTTGGACGAGTGCCTGCTGGAGCTGGATGGGACAGGGAACATGCTGGCAGCTCTTCTCGGGGTGAGCTTGTCATTTCTCTGGGGCTGCTCCTCGTGCCTCTGTGGCAATGCTGTCAAAGCTCTCTCCAGCTGCTTTCTCTTGGCTGCTGTCGCCTGCCTCGCCGCCTGGCCTAGACACGCTCCCCGTGAGCTAGGCCGTGTCTCAGGAGCACCTCGGCCCCTTCAAGGGAGGGGGCTGATGGCATCAAGGGAGAGGGTGGTGCGAGGCTTTCGGAGAGGCAGCTTTGTGTCTTTGAGCAGCGAGACGGTTTGTGAGCAACCGGCATGGGCGTCTGCTGACGTGTCCCTGTCCCCTTGCAGGACCCTAAGATGATGAGGATCGTGGCCTTCGCGGGCAAAAACGATTTTAGTCGTCGCAGTCGAGACACGGTCATCACGCTGCCAAGGTGAGCAGGATGGCTTCTGCAGCCCCTGGCTGGTCAAGGGAGCAGCTGCTGAGCCCCCGAGGCGGGGGCACCCTCTTGCTGAGGCTCCTCTCCTGCCAAACTCGGCAAGACCAGCTCCTTCCCAGGAGAAGAGCTTCCCGGTCCGTGGCTGCTGGCTGCTCCCCAGCTTGGAGAGTGCCAACGCAGCGATCAGTCCGCTCTCGATCTGCGCTGAGAGAGCGAGAGAGGCGGGAGGGTCTGTGGGGCAGCAAGGAGGGCGTGTGCTGGGATCATCAGCTTTCGGGCAGGAAGGCGAGGGAAGCAGCGGCAGAGGCTGAAGGAGGACGTGGGACCCCTCGGGCCCCACAGAGACCTGTGGCCTCCAAGGACTCGGCAGTGGCTCCCACAGATGCCTGCCAGCAGTTTTTAGTCTCAGCCCGCAAGGGAGCGGGGTGGCCTTTTGCCCAGCTGCTGCCTTCTTGTTTCCAGGCTTGCATTTGAGATCCCCCACCAAACATCGGTCCCCACGATTTCTCTGAAGCCCACGAGAGATCTGGCGCCCTGGGGCGGGGGTGCCCGCAGAGGTAAGGTCCCAGCCGAGTGCTGGCAGGGGGCTGTGGGTGCTCCTCACGTCCTCCCGAGGGCAGGAGAGCCAGGGTCACTGTGCGAGTTGTGCGAGAGGAGAAAGCAGCTCTGTGAGCCTGCGCAGCCGTCCTAGTACGCGCGGGTGACCCGTTTGGGAAGAGGCTCTGAGCTGGACAGCCCCTCATGGCGAACGGCAGCCAAGGGTTCTGCGTCCCATTTTGCCCTGGGCGCTGCCTTCCAGCAACTCTGCCTGGAGCTGTGACCGGGCCGAGCCCGCGTAGCTCTGGCAAGCCACGCGTTTGGCTCTGAGGAGGAAATCTCTTCTGCGCTGGGGTCGTTGCTTCTGCCCAACTATCAAAGATGCTCTTGTGCTCTTCTCTTGCCTCCTGCTCGCAGTGAGTGTGCTGGATCCAGTGTTCCTGGCTCAGCGGAGGGTTTCTCTAGCCAGACAGCAGGTGAAGGAAGGCGAACAGGCTACAGCCAAGGAAGCTGGCCCAGGCAGGTGAGCCTCCTGGAGAAGCGGTGGGGCTGGGGGCATGGGGGCACACTGTGCCCTTGTTGTAGTGAGAGTGAGATGTTTCCCGTGGCCGGGGGTGCCTGTGCTGGGGAGAAAAGGCCCCGGAGACCTTGTCCTGCTCGACACTTGCTCCTCCTGCTGAAGTGCCGGGAGCTGCCGGCACCGGGGGCAGGCTGTGAGCCCATGCCAGAGCAAGCACCTCAGGCGGGGCTCCCACAGGCTCAGCTGCCGTGCCTCTGCAGATTCCTGCCAGTAATCCAGCAGAATTCCAAGGAGGACCTGACGCAGGCCAGACCTCCAGGCTGCCCAGACTTGCAGCTCCCTGCATGTGCCGCGCAGCCCTCAGGAATGGTACGCCCCAGGGATCTGCCAGTCCTCTGGCACATTTCGGGCTCTGGGCCGGGGCCGAAGAGGTGGCAAGAGCTGCCCACCGTCCCAGCCCCCGGCCCTGCCCGAGCCAGGGGAGACTAACGCTGCGTGTGTGCTGTGCGCGTGTCCTCCAGGGAACGGGCTCCCTCCGCGCGGAGAGGGCAGGGAAACGGCACCAGGTGCTGATGGCATCCAGGCGCAAAGAGGTGGAAGCGGAAGTGTGGCACCAATACCATGCCAAGAGAGCGGGGCAGCACATGGAGCGAGGCCAGGTATGGCATGCACTTGGCAGCCGCCAGCCAAAGGGCATTTCCCCGCCCTGCTCCCTGCGGGGGGAGCAGGGAAGGTCTCCCGGCAGTGCGCCAGGCAGGGGCCTTCTGTCTGCCCGCTGCCCTGCCCGCTGCCCTGCAGCAGGAGCCGTCGCGACGGCCCCAGGCCGAAGCGTGCAGCCTTGGGAGCGGCCCCAGGTGTTGGCGGCAGTGCTTTAGGAGAGCCTCTTCTGCCTTCGCAGACCTCCTGCCGCCACCTGTTCGAGGATCCCTATCGCCCTCCCCACCTCCTGAGAAAGGCCTACGCCGAGAAGCTGAAGGAGAGGCTACAGGAGAAGGAGAGCTGCCAGAGGCCTGCGAGGCAGATGGCGTCCGAGGGGCGGGCAGGCTGCACCCCCCGCAGACAGCGTGGGAAGTGTAAGTGTGCGCAGGTCCTGCAGAGGCCGAGGAAAGCCTTGGGCAGCTCCCAGCGCTGGAGGTGGCCGGGCTGGCCACGAAAGGCTGGCTCGGCTGGCTGGGCTCTGCCTTCCCAACGGCGGCAGCCCGTGCTTGCCCTCGCCGCGCAGTGACTCGCAGGCAGCCAGCCCTCAGCTGCCGCGCCCGCCCTGTCCCGGGTCTCGGCCCTGCCCGGCTTCACCCCCGGCTGCTCTGCGCTCTTCTCGCTGCAGACTGGTTGGGGCACGAGGGCCCACGAGACGCCACCCGGAGCAGCGGGCTGGGCTCGGCCGCTCCTCTGAGAGCTACGGGCCTGAGCCCGGCGCTGGGGCGCTGGGGCGCTGGGGGCCCTTCTCCCCGGCCACAGAGCTGAGGCCCTTTTCTGCTGTGTCCTTTAGCAAGGGGGAGAAGACGAGGCTGCTGGAGCGCCGCGGGAGGGCCCAGGGACTGCCCGCCATGCCAAGGAGCTGCGAGCAGCCCCGAGGAGCTGTCACGGCGTCCACCCTTTCCAGCCGGAGAGCTGCCAGCAACGGGTGGCAGGGGCGAGGAGCGCCTTTCCAAGGGGAACGTGCCAAATAAAGGCTGCTGGTGCCTGGGCCCAGCCAGCGTGGCCGTGCTGCTGCCTGCCTTGCCTTTCTCTGCGGCCACGGGCACGGGAGGGGCCCCGCAGCCCCCTGCTCGGAGGGGTCTCTGGGCAAATGGCCAGAGGACTGGTCCTGCCAGCCGGTCACCACAGGCCATGCGACCAGGAGAGCGGTGTCCCTTCCAGGACATGGGCCTCAAGGTCTTCAGAGCACAGCTTCTCTGCATCTAAACACCACTTTTCATGGATGACCAGAGCTCCGTGGCTGGTCACATCACTCTTAGAGCAGACTCACACTGCCAAAAGAAATGGTGGGCCTGATGCTCCTTGAAAGGCTACACTCCTTAGATGAGCCCTTGGCTAACTGTTGGGCCTGATGCTCCTTGAACGGCTACACTCCTTAGATGAGCCCTTGGCTGACCGTCAGAACTGTCCAATGACCTTTGCAGAATGTTTATTCATTTAGGAAGGAGCATAACTTTTGAAAAAGCCCTTTTTTTGCCAGGTAAAGCACTGCACACAGGAGAAAACCATGATTTGAAAGGGTAAGAGCACTAGGAGCAGTATGTGCAACTAAGCCGGACATGTCTGGAACATGAGGTGACTCTTGCCCTCCCAATTTGTCCACTGTTTGCTCAGGCCTTGGCAACAGCCGCTCTGAACCCTTGTACTGAGCACTGAGCAGTATAAGTGCTCTGCTGCTACTGCAGTGTTAGCAGTATTCAGCCTGCACGTTCTTTGGAGCTCAGACCAACCTCACAAAAGGGAGCAAATTCCAAAATGTGTCTTCTGGCATCCTCAGAAAACTACAACACAAGCGGAATTGCTGGAAAGTTGGGATGAGTGTCGTGAAGGAAGCGGTAGACTGGATTGAATAGAGTATGCACAAGTCCATGGGACCCTGGAATAGGCCTCCCGTGGTCCTGAGCGAACAGGCAGATGTCATTTCCACGCCAGCCTCTGAAATGTCACGGCAGTCAGGCAAAGACCCCGGTGACTGGAAAAAGGGAAACTGCACACATTTTCAAACGAGGTAATAAGGAGGCCCCTGGGAACTGCTGAGCACTCAGCCTCACCTCAGTGCCTGGTAAGGTCATGGAACAGATCCTCCTGGAAGTTATGTTGAAGTTATACGTGAAAGTCCTCTGCAGCACCTTGGCCTGAGTTGCAGCAACAGAGCTGCAAAGTCCTTCCTCGCCCTGTTACACTAGAGAGCGTGAGCAGCTGCTCTTGCTATGCGGTTGCACAACAGGAGAGATCACAAGAAGAGTCTCTTCTTGGGTGCACTGATTGCAGCATGTCAGATTAAACAAACTATTCCAAGCATGTGAGAGCTCTGTTCATGACAAGCTGCTGCAGTGAAGCTTTGTGTGCTGGTATTCCAGACATCTTAGTTTGAGCTGTTAAACACCTCACACCAGCTTGGTTATGCAGCTTTATAATTATACATGGTTTGCTTGCTAACAAGAAGTCAACTGTTAAGGCCTTGAGAATGAATCCTGTTTCATTCATGTGTACCCAGCACGTTTGGGGTTTTTTGAACCTGCTGTGTATTACTGTCCATTTGTCAACATTAAACTTTTTTCACCATCTGTCAGGCCATTTGCAGAGCAATTCCAAATCCTTATTAAATCTGTTTGAAACTGGCTTAAGGCTCAGCATTTCACTTTCTCCATCAACACTCCATGGAGGTGATCTGCACAGAAGAAAACAACAGGGGCTTCAGTTCCAGTCCCCTTCGAGACCTACTTTAATACTTGGCCCAGCTTGAAGAGGTCCTTCAGTATTGTGCTGTCTTCTGTTTTATGGACCATTACCTTATTGGGTCTTTTAACTGGGATCCTCACTACCGAGTTGTTGCGCAGAAGCTTGGCAGAAAGTGAAACTTTTTAAAGTTCAGATATTCTACGCTATTATGTGAGCTGTTCATCTGTCTCAGCAGTGCTAGCAGGGACATAACTTCCTGTTTGTCTTGAAGCTATTCCTGAGTTTTGTTTAAGGCCTTCCAAATCACAGCAAATGGCTCTTCTAAACTTATTGAATACTAACTTGTGAATTAAACTACACATATACGTGTCTGTGGCCGAAGAGATGAATTAGAAGCAGAAATGAGGAGTTTTCTTTTAGGTATATTATGAGAACAAATCCAAATTGCTGGCAGCGTGTCAAGCTTGAAGAAGATTTGTTCATTCACACATAAAGGACTGCAAGTTACCCAGATAACGGAAAGGAGATTTTCCTCCTTTCTATCATTCCCATGGTTTTTCCCTTTTAATAAATTTGTTCTTGAGTTGGCTTGATTTAGCCAAGCAAAAAACATGATAGAAGAATTTATTTTGTCACAGTTGGTGTCCAGTCAGGCAAGAACAAAGCAAAATAACATGCAGGGGAACTAGTTTCAGCTTTTTTAGCTTGGGCTGA